TTAATATTTAACACATCAAATATCTTTCTCTCTTAAAGTAGATGTTTCTGAAAATACATATTCCCTGTAATTGATACATTTTCCCTCCAGAAATGGGAGATACAGTCCAGAAAACTGCCCAGCAATCAGACTTGCAAGTTAAGCCCATGCTTACTTTCTAATAATCAATCACAAAACAAAGTGTGCTAAATGCGAATGAGAAAAAGCACATGCTATGAAAAACAAACATCATTCACCCCTTGAGGAAGTACCTCTTCCAGATAATAGGAAGTATATTATATAGTCTGACTTTCTTAAAATTGTTTTAAATAAAATCTTCATGTGGAGCCCTATGTGTAGTGTAACCGTTTTGATCATTTAATTATTTCTGGATTATTTGGGTCTCTCTGTGTATCAATTTTTTAAAAAATTATTATATTCATTGATGAAACAACAAATAGTAATTCTTCATACCAATAAGGGAGGGAGACTGGAAGACTCTGGTTCATATTCCCAATGGTTCACTACAGATCATTAAGACAGTCACTCTTTCTCAGCCTAATCTTCCTTAGAATTGATACCAAAAAGTAGTCAATAAGACGCAGAGAAAGGATGGGGCAAGAGTTGGGTTATGCCGGATCCAAATGTTCTCAAGACAAGGAATGCAGCCGCTATGCTGACACAAAGTTAGGCTAGAAAAGGGTAGTCCAAAATTTGATTTCAGCTGTTTTGGTTGGCCTAGCTCAAGTGGCCATCTTGACCACTTAAATTGCACTCTGAGGCCATAGGCTACATAAGCTGGGTGTGATGAAGGCTTGAAGGAAACAAAAAGTCAAAGACTGGAAACTAGCAGGGATTTGGAGTAAGTAGCATTTTTTATTACCATTGTGCAGGTTCTGCAATATTAAGGATAGTGATCTACATTTACAGTCTTTGTGCTATTCTTTCTGCAAACACCAAGCCAGGTATTATCACACCAATAGTCCCCCCCCCCAATTCCACTGGCCAAGTGCAGCCTAGCTGCATCCCAGGTCCCAGGTGTGCTTCAACAGCCGTTTTTCCAAGTTGGGAGATTTCCAACTTTGAAAAGCGGTGCCTAATAATACCTGGCTGCATCCCAGAAGAGGATTCAAACTGGGAAAAGTAAGCTAGTTTTTTAGCTGTGTGAAAAACTCCCAGAAAGCACTGTTGTCTGGCAACAGTGCAGAAGACCAGGGATTCCAGTAGAACACCAATATGTTAGCAACAGTGCATTTTTCTGAATTTTGGTGTGTGTATGAATTCCACATGGCCTCAGATACACTCTGCAGTGAACCCCAAGTGCCACCATGGCAAGGCAAATAGGTCATGTCCAGGTCACTTGGAAGACTGGAAGATTCCCAATCCCCAGAGCCAGGCAGGTAGTGTGGGAGTTGCAAATGGACCATCATCACCTCCATAATCAGAAGGATGGGCAATAATGGCCTAGATGTATTTCCTGATGGGCCAGCTAACGACTTAATCCTCTTCCATTTTACCTTGAATATTGCCAGACCAGATTACCTCACCCAGGCAATCTCACACCTTTGCCCTGTGGCTAGATTTTCCCATAAAAACCCCTGGATTTCTCCCCTCAGTGTCACTAGTTTGCATTCAGGGGGACCCTGCATCACTTTGTACTCTGACCTAGTTACCAGCACCTCAGTTCAACCCATGATCTCGGAACAGTTGTGTCTCATACCAAATCACCTAATTGGATCCTGGAGTAATCTGTAGTAAGTATCACCCATAGTTTTGCCTCTGAACCTTTTCCAAGCTAACCCCTGATTTTCTGAGCCTTACATGAGTGTGTGCATGTATGTGAATTGCTGTGTGATTTTGTCCTTTAATAAATAATACTTTAATTGGAGAATTCTGTCTCTGCGCTAATTCTGAGATCCACCGGATTCTTGGTATACATGTGGGAGACAGTCTCATAGGGTCCTTGTTGCTGACCCTCTCTCAATTTGAGCTAAATAAAATTCTCCATACTACTACTAATAATAATAATAAATTTTTATTTATAGCCCACTCCTCTGTGCAGCAATCAGGGCGGGTTACAGCATTTAAAAAAACAACAAAGTTAAAAAACAATTCCCTCAATCCACAACCCCCCCTTAAAACTGAATTAAATTTAGAAAAAAATAAAATACAATGAAATAACAACAACAATAATACTAGATGCTAAAAATTCGGCAAGAAGATCAGAGACAGAATAAAACTCATCCCTCTGGAGCATTATTCCGGGAAGGCCTGTTGGAAGAGATCCATCTTTACTGCTTTCTTAAATGCAGCAAGTGTCGTAATAAGACTGATCTCATCCGGCAGGCCATTCCAAAGTCTGGGGGCAGTAGTGGAGAAGGCCCTCTGGGAGGTCTTCAAAAGCCTAGTCTTTCTACTAGACTCTTGGCTACAAATAGTGAAGCGGTTTTCAAGTTATTTTGCTACTGGCCTGTGTAAAACAGTCATAAGGCCTCACTTTTGAAAGATACTTCTTAACTTTGGTTAATTAGCATGTGTTCTGGTCAGTACCATAATTCTTTCTTTTCCCTCACCAGCAATGAAATAAAAATTGTTTCAAAGGATCAGAAGTGCATAAAATAACTATGATGTATACCCAAACACAACTTTTTAACCATTATGAAACTTCAGCTAACATCAACATGATAATTTCCATCCCATTTTGTGCAGTTGATCATTTATTAATGTAATGCTTTCCAGGAAAGGCAACTAACAATCTGTTTCAAGTGGGAACAAAGGAGAGAGTCTTTTTCATGGCTGCTCCCAGACTTTGGAATTCCATCCCCAGAAAGCCATAAAAGAGGCTACCACAAATGTTTATGAAGCCTTAGATGATTTGAGCATGTGTGTGCGCACACACACACACATGCACACACAAACATGACTCTAGTCCCATCTGTTGTTATCAGTCACAAAGTAAAACAACAAGCATCTAATTTTTGTTTGTCCCCCCCCTCCCAGATGCTTCATGAGAGGCCTTCTCATCTTCTCACTTCACCCTCAGTTTGTACCCAAACATAGAGCCTTATATATTATGGCAAAGGATAACTGTCTCTTCTCTGTGTTCCATATGTGTCATCTGGGTGATGGGACTCCTGTGAATTCTCTGGCAGGCAAGGTTGTAATTGAATATTTAGACAAACTAGTCTACATTCTCTTGTGGTCCAGCAAGCATTTATTTTGCTGAAGACTTGAAGAGGTTTTTAAATGCAACAAATAAGAAAAAATGCCTCCAGTGCTTCAAAGCAAACCGTTCTAAATGTAGCTGCAGAGAGACTTTTGGGTGATCATAAACTTCCCAGATATGATAGAAATATAGCTTTAGAGATACCTGGAATATAGAAGCCTTGAAGATCCCTAAAGGCACATTAAATTCCAAGTCTCTCTCTAGCTATAGGGGGAAAATAAATAATATTCTAGTTTATGAAGGACAGAGTGATTAATGAAACAGAAAATGAATCACTTCTTTTATTCACTTTGCCTGCAGTCCTGCACACAGCTAGGCTGGTTAAATCCCTCTGAAGGCACTGGGAGTTTAAAAGCCTAAGGGTGGACTGGATTGGAGCCACAGATTATTTTATATCATTTGATTAAAAGAAAGGGATTTCAGGATGATATGGTCTGATTGCAACTCATAATACTCATCACCGCCAATTGTCAGAACCTGTAGGAGATTTCTATCTTACTTGCCCTACAGAGAAAATAATAAACTAAAATTTGGAGCTGAATCATTCAAGTGGTATGATAACATTTCACTTGATGATAGCAGAAAATTGGACTCTACATAGGTGTACAGTTTGATGGCTGCAGTAAGCATAACAGTCACTTTTAAAATGATACCCTTAATACTTATCTGAGTAATATATTGTGCTATCTCAGAGTCTGTCTCAGACACTGGTGGTTTGTGGCTTCCATGTCAGTGGTATCAGTCTGAGTTTCAGCCTGCACTTTAAAAGAACTATCCAGGGTTCTGAATCTATTTTAAGAAGAGGGCTCATTTCCTTGGACAGATCATTGTTTGGAATAAAATCTGGAACAGATTACTTGGTATTCAGGATAAATGCTGTGGCAAATCCTCTTGCCACCTTTCACCTTAGCACTGACTTTTTAAAGATGGCAGTCCTGGGGGGTTTTGTTACTCCACTGCTGCAACCCAAATATGTGTCAAAGGACCCACACTAAAAGTTTAAAAGGTTAGTAGCATGGTATGGTTTGAAAACATAGGCCAAGTGATGTTTAAATGAGAATGAAAGTTTATTCTAGAACAGAATGGAATAAATATAACTTGTATCAAAGGCTGTCACTATAGTTTCTCTTGGCTATGAGAGGGTTAAATGAGTGAACTGTAACAGTTACATATAAACAACATTTGTTTCCAGTTCCCTTTTAATATTTCAGCCACACAGGCTGAAAACACAAAAGCAACTCCCTTCCTTAGAGTTCTGTATGTGTCCCGAGCCCCTCCCATCTGGACTCCAAATGACAAAATTTACAGTTCCCTCAGAAACTCCCAGAAATGCAACTCTGGCTTAACTCTCCCCAATCCCCAACTGCTCTTCCCAACTGTCAGCTTGAAAAAAAAATTTCAAGTGCTCCCAGCTTGAATTCTATTGGTTGGCCCTCAGCTGCCTCCTGATTGGCCAGCTGGACATTCTAATTACCCCAGATGCCAGTCTCTTCAATCAGCCTTTTAAACTGAGGACTTTAAGAACTTTAAGAAGCACTTTGTGAATTCCTAAGAGGCAGCTTCTGAGACAGAAATTCTAAGAAGAATTTTAGAACTCTCAGGGATATACTTGATATCCTAGACAGCAAGCCCAATGTTTGACTGCCCCAGGCTTTGTGAACCTGTGGCCTCTTCACACTACAGAATTTTGTTGTTGTGTGCCTTCAAGTCATTTCCAACTTATGGCAATTCTTGGGAGAACCTAGTCTGAGACTTAGGGCATGTGACTTGCTCAAGGTCACTCAATAGATTTCCATGGTCAAGCTGGGATTTGAACCCTGGTCTCCAGAGTTCTAATCCAATGCTCAAACCTCTATGCCAACAGCACTATTATTCCTATGGAATCCTGGGGCTTGCAGTTTAGGAAGGGGCATTTAGAATTGTCAGCCAAGGAACTCCTCTGGTGCCTCTGGCCAAACTACAAATCCCAGGGTTCCACTGGATGGAACTCTGGCAGTAAAAGTAGAATTCTAGTGATATAATTCTGTTGTTTGAATGAGTCCCATATGCTTGCGAGGGTTCCATTTTTGGATTATAACTCCAAGAATCTTCCAACCAGCACAACCACTTCCCATGGTGGCTAGGAAATTCTGAAATTTATAATTAGAGACATAACTCTTCCAAGTTCTGCTCCCGATGTGCTAGAGTACAGCTAGAGGCTCTACAAAACTAACTATAAACAAATATTAGGAGTTGCAGGCTAGCACTTTTGGGGAGACCCAGAAGTGTGTTGGTCTATATTCCTAAAGACCAGTTCTTTTCTCATATTTCTCCTGTTCCTCATTATAGTTACAGTGTCTAATGTTTTTCTGTAATGTCTTTGTTCCATTTATTACTAAGTTGTCATAATACTGACTAAATATATTTGTACTGAACTTAAGGTTCACATACAACCATATAGTTCCATACTAATCAGAAAAAATAATATATTAAAGCTGGGTACAGTAAAATTGATTAAATACAATGATGATTTTAAATTCTTCTTGATTTGAGCATGGCTATCTTCTGCAAGAATGCAAACATACTCTCTGAATTAATTTTATCATATTTATTTCCCAGGAGAAAGATAATCTTTTCTATACAGAAAATTTTAAATTAGAGGGCATATTTTTTATAGCATGGTATTTCAGTGATAACTTTACAGATAATGGAGAATTTTAATTGTACCCAGTGAATAAGGCAATAAGAACTATAATTGGTCAGGAGAGATTCTATAAAGTGATACTATAATTAAAAGAAATATAAAAATACATAGAATTGACATCCTATTGCCAGATTATGTATAAATGGGATACTATCAATGCTCTCCTATGCATCTCTAATTAAAAGTAAGTCCCACTGAGTTTAATGAGGCTTTTGTTTGTTGTTAACTGCATCATCAATTTTGACTTAGGATGACCCATTGAATGACAGACCCCCAAGTATCATCTACAGCCCTGCTCAGGTCTTTCAGATGCAGGCTTCCTTGGTTGAGTCTATCCATCTTGAATGTGGTCTTCCTCTTTTCCTACTGTCTTATGCCTAACTAAGCATTATTGTCTTTTCTAGTGAGTCTCTAGGTAAAAGGATTACAACCTAAGACATTCATGGGCTGTACAGAGTTATTCCCTGCCCAAGAAAACCCTATGAAAAGTGCAGGGTCACCCAAGTTGACAGGCAATTGGAAGGGACATACACAGAGAGAGAGAGAGAGCTGGCACGTGCCAAGGGTGAGCAACTATAATCCCCCAATTGGTGTTGCTCTGTAGTTCCCATTATCTTCACTATTGACTATGCCAGTAGGGTGAATAATAGTTCACTATTGACTATGCCAGTAGGGTGAATAATAATCGGCCACCTCATGCCGAGAAGGATGTTTCATCCTTGGCTCCTGCACGGCCAAGTGAACTAGCTGAGGATGAAACATTTTCAACTACAGTCTTAGAGTTAGATTCTAACTCTAAGTCTCTAGTCAAAAATGTTTCATCCTCCCCTTTTAGACACTCTGTGCCAGAGGTCTGTAGGCCAAAAAAACAGTGGTCCAGCACAGAGCGTTTAGTTCTGGGACTTCGGGCGCAGCAGCACCACCAGCACGGGGCCGGGAAGAGGCCCAGGCTGAGGTATTTAGGCCAGTCCCTCCTTCTTCCAGTGGCAAAATAATGTTTTTTTCTTCAAAGTGACACACCACCCAAGTTATGCTCAGTTTTTTGGCAAAGTTTGACACACCAAGCTCAAAAGGTTGCCCATCACTGGTTTAGGGGGTACTAAGAAATTACAACTAGATGTGCACACACAAAAAAGCCTGCCTAGCATTGGCTTCTACTAAGACTTCAGCTCTCTTCACTTATTATGTCACCCAGAAATGGGCAGAGGGGACATGGTACAAGTTCTGTCTGTCAATGAATTTGACCAACTGAACAAGGGAGCCCTGGGCAGGTGTATGTAGGCTTCCATTGACTCTGGAGGCAAAGGTCCCAAAATACTCTGAGCATCTCTTTGCACTCTGTTGAGGGGTATAGGGCTGCAGGAATTGCCATCTTCTTATCTAAGGTGCTAGGGTTGTCTTCAGAGGTCCACACTCCTGTGTGCAATACAAAGGCAAATGTTTGTAAATTTTATTATCACAGACAAAAACAAATAACTAGTTCTTGTTTTTTCACTTTGTGGCAAGAATTTTGTCAAAAACTGCAATTCTTGAAGACTATTTGCATTTCAAGATCATGATAAGATAACTTATGTCTTATGTTCTATGTAAGTATTGTCAATGTTTTTGTGCTGTTGTTCTACCTTTTTAATCTTCATTTTTGTTCTTTAAAAAATGAATAAAGTTAAATTTTAAAAAGAGAGATGCAAATCTTTGTAAATTTTATTATCACAAGCAAAAGCAAATAACTAGTTGTTTTTTCTCTTTGCTGCAAAAATTTTGTCAAAAACTGTGCAATTTATTGAAGACTATTTGGAATTCAGAATTTATCCTGCAAAAAAGTACTGTTTTGTGTGTGCAGGAAATAATATTTTTTGTGCCAAAAACATGTTTCCTCTGCAGAAGACAGCATTTTCTGTACAGAAAACATAGTTTTCTATGCAGGAAACTTCTCTGTGTGTGTTATTTTTCAGACCAGAAAAATCTGTTTTCTGCAGAGGAAACTTGTTTTCTACACAGAAAGTACCACTTCTGCACAGAAAATGCCAGTTTTTGCACATTGGAAACCATTAGCATTTTTCTCACAGAATAAGGTCTCAAACTGTGAAGAGTCTCACTCTTCTTGGATTCTCCTTCTCATTGTTTCCATGCACTTGAGAAACGTATTTGTCAATGATTGTCAAGTATTATGTAGATGCCTAGGTGCACAAGTCTCTGACATCACCAGTCAACTAGAATCATAGAGTTGGAAGACACCTCAAGGGCTATCCAGTCAATCCCCCTGTCATCAAATCAAAATACCCCCAACAGAATCAAAATACCCCAAACAGATGGTCATCCAGTCTCTGTTTAAAGACCTACAAAGAAGGCGACTCCACCACACTCAGAGGGAGTGTGTTCCCCTGCTGAACAGCTCTTAATGTCAAGAAGTTCCTCCTAATGTTGAGGTGGAATCTCTTTTCCTGCAGCTTGCATCCATTGTTCCGAGTCCTGTCCTCTGGAGCAGCAGAAAACAAGCTTGCTCTATCCTCAATATGACATCCCTTCAAATTCTTAAACAGGGCTATCATATTACCTCTTAACCACCTCTTTTCCAGGCTAAACATAGTCAGCTCCCTAAGCCTTTCCTAATAGCACATGGTTTCCAGACCCTTCACTATTTTAGCTGCCCTCCTCTGGACATGCTCAGGTTAGAAGGTCAGGTTAGTTGCTGGGCATGGTGGTGCAGAATAGGACTCACAGAGGAACTCGGTACAAAGCAGGACTTTTTGGAGAGGACTCATTTGTTACACCAAGCTTTGAGATTTTCTTTAGTGCTGTGTTGTTGTGTGGTTTCCTTTCATAACCACTTTGGGCCAAAGCACACTGCAGAAATCATCCAGTTTGAAACCGCTTTAACTGCCCTGGCTCACCGCTAGGGAATTCTGGGTACTGTAGTTTCTTGTGGCACCAGAGCTCTCTGATGGAGGTGGCTAAATGTCTCACAAAACTACAGTTACCAGAATTCCCTAACATTAAGCCAGGGCAGTTAAAATGGTTTCAAACTGGATTATTTCTGCAGTGTGTTTTGGCCCAATGTAGTAGCAATTAGTTCAGTGAAAAAGGTGGGGCTAATTTTAAAAAACACTGACAGAAAAGTGAAATACATTTAAGAAGTCATATGTAATTTTGGTCCCCTGGTAGAAAAGTCAGGAGTGGAGGCAGAGCTGCCTGAGACTTTTAAAAACTACTGCTGGCTCTCTAGTTTAATTCTCGCATATTCCTGCTCTGTGATAACTTTTGGTTAGTTAATGATTTCTACAAAACACAGCCATCCTTCATTTCAGCATTTAGCTCGATACAAATAAATGCATCTAATTTCTTTACCATATCGTTCTCCCAAGGCAACCAATTGTGGATGGGATATCATTGGAACTCAGCATACACATTATTTTACAGGAACAGACCATTAATTAGAAAATCTTTCATTTGAATTTTGCCTTCATCCTACTACCTGAATTTCTGCATAAACACATTGTGAAGAGGGAAAAGAATGTGTCAGTGCAAGGTGGATATATATATATCTACTAGGATTTCTGATCTAATGATACTGTTTATCATGTTAATGGTTTGCCTTCTACTCTAAGATCATTTCTTCTCATTGACTGTTCTGCTGGGGTGAAAGAGGAGAGAGACTTGCATTTATTTAGACACAGAATCGTGATGCTGGATAAAAAAAGAGTTCCGAATTCACTTGGTTCTTTAAGGAAGAAAATAATAATAATAATAATAATAATAATAATAATAATAATAATAATAATAATAATAATAATAATAATAAATTTATTTGTACCTGACCCCTCTGCATACCAATCGAGGCAGCTTCCAACATAAAATACAATACAATAAAATCAATCCCAAAACCCAGCCCCTCCCACCCCTTAAAAAGTCATTAAACAAAAATCGATTAAAAACATTATTTAAGATTAGGGCAAAGTGCTGATAAATACAATAACAATAATCAACAATAAACAACAATAACTGCTGAAATAGTGGCTGAAATGGGGGGGAAGCAGGTTCAATTGGGCAGGCTCTTATGATTGGGAAGACTAGTCTGGAAAGGCCTGCTGGAAGAGATCCATCTTGACAGCCCTTTTAAAGCTGTCTAAGGTTGTGATTTCATCCAGCAGGCCATTCCATATTCTTGGAGCGGTCATCGAGAAGGC